TAATAAACGTTAAAAACCAGAGAGAGAATAATGCAGAATACATGGTAAAATTTAAACCCCAAATTTGCCCTATGAGGAAGTTGCCCGATAAGAGGAACAAAAAGAAGGTAGCACTAAGGAGGTGGCGTGGCGTAGCGCCGAAGATGGGCAACAATCTAGCAGAGGTTAGGATGCGTGTCGTTAGATTTCAAACAGTTTAGAACGGGCCTATGCATCTAGCACCTTGGTACCACCTACACCAAAGTTTATTACGACAGTTGAGTCATTATCATAGAGTTAAAATAGTACCAATGCAATTTGTCCGTACACCAACCTAAACAACGACGTCGGGATGGTTTAGAAGATTGTATAAACTTACTTTTCCGAAGCCAAACTGTGCAGAAGCAATTTTTGACAGAAGATTGTTACGCCAGTATGGACCCAATTTTTCTTTACAAATTCTCCAAACTTGATTTGTGATCACACGACATCCACTTGCGACACAACACAGTACGGTCGCCGGCGTTCTGCTTTGCTGAGGGACGGTGCTACGCCACGCCACCTCCTCAGTGCTACCTTCTTCTTGTTCCTCTTATCGGGCAACTTCCTCATACAAATCATACAAAACGGGTGATAAAGATCACTCTCTCAGCTGTCTTGTCTTACGGATATTTTGGAATGCGACAAAGAATTTAAATACACAGCAGTAATACTCACAAAATTGCAAGTAATACTTAAAAATTTCGTAGAAATAATACTGATTATTTTGTTCATAACACGTAGTTCGTTAAACGTAGTGCTTTAACTGGCAGTTCTGTGACACAGTATGAGTAGCGAGTGGACCCCACTTTCACTACTTCCGAGCAGCGTATTTACATCCAGATATTAACAACATTGTCCTTGCTTGGCAGTTAGGCGGGGTGCAGGCAAACTTAATATACTCCATGATAACCGAGGGGTGCCCAACTAAGGTAATCAGGTGTACACAGAGTAGGTAATCCCTGGTAATCACCGGTAATCATTGGTAATCGCCAGTAATCATTGGTAATCGCCGGTAATCCTTGGTAATCACCAGTAATCCTTGGTAATCACCGGTAATCCATGGCAATCACCGGTAATCCATGGTAATCACTAGGTAATCCATGGTAATCACTAGGTAATCGTTGGTAATCACCAGGTAATCGTTGGTAATCACAAGGTAATCTTTGGTAATCACTAAGTAATCTAGCAAGGAAATTCCTAAAAATCTTTGGTAATCACCGGTAATCTTTGGTAATCACCGGTAATCTTTGGTAATCACTGGTAATCTTTGGTAATCACTGGTAATCTTTGGTAATCACTGGTAATCTGTGGTAATCAATGGGAATCTGTGGTAATCAATGGCAATCTTTCGTAATCTCTGGTAATCTTTTGTCAGTGGTAATCTTCGGAAACCCTTGGTAATCATGGGTAATCTTCAGTAATCTTCGGTAGTCTCTGGTAATCCGTGGTAATCATCACTTTTTGGTAATCAGGTGTACACGATTTTTTCGAGTTGGGCACCCCTCGATGATAACATAGTTTGGGAACCTTATCAACTGTAAGCTGAAAAGACCTCATTCGTGGAGGAATGCCAGCAGCACCATATGCCACGCGTAAGGCTGTGAGGCCAGTACACGTCGTGCAGCTGCTGCAGTCATGTGGGTGGTTGGCGTTGGCTTCCTGGGGGCGGGCTTGGGGCTGACACCGTCACACTGCGCCTAGCAGCGACACTGCGCCGCGCGTCGCGCCGCCTTGGGCACCTAATTGAGCGACCAAAACGCGGAAGCTCGACGGATGTCGAGTGGTGGTAAAAAAAATATAGTGGAGACGAAAAGAAGGAAGACAGAAAAGTTAAGCAGATGAGGCGATAAAGAGAGAGGGAAGGCGCATCAGGCGTTGAGGGGTAGAGCGGTAGGGGCCCGCTGCGTAGGCGGAGCCAGTGGACCATCGACTGCCCATGACATAGTTTTGTCGGCTCGTTTTAGGAGCGCTCGGATGCGCGGCGAAAGGGATCTGGGCTTATCTCTCGAGCGCAGCCGGGAGCGTTTGTATGAGAAATCAGATTGTCTATTCAGTCTCACATATTCATCCCACACATCCCCCCTGCGCCGTCCCGACCGGTCTCGGGGGGAAGGGGAGTTGCTCGCTGAGAAGGCGCGCACTGCTTACCTCTATAAATATACGTAATTTTTTCTTTGAAAGAAAGAAATTTCTTAGTCCACTTACCTGAAGAGCGGCTGCGGTGTTGGCGCGAAATACGGTATCTCGTAGCTTTTGCAAAACCGTGACGTGACGATGTCACAGTGAGTGCCAAATCGTTTCGTAGGCCGTGGGTTTAGCGTGCGCGAGGACAGGGTGGGTAGGGTCAAGTTTGCCGCTCTGTCGTCTCACTGAGGTCTCGGCCGCTCTCGTTCGCCAGCGGCACAGCAGACCCAACCACGTGCTGCTAGGACGACGCAAGTTCGTCGTGACCAAGTGGAAATGAGTGCGCGGCAAGGTTGCCGTCGCTGCCCTAACGATTTTCCTTGTGACACCGGCCAGACTGTGGGCGCGGCCGGCTCCCGGGGGCGCGTCGAAAGGAGCCCAGCCGTGGGCCAATGCGACATTTAACGCTACCAAGCCCGGCCAACCCACCGCGACCCCTCGGGAGGGTTCGGCAAACAAGGAAACAGGAGGCGGGGGAGGGAAGCGGGAGAAGGAGGGGCTGACCCTGGCCTGACAGAGTCCACTGGACCGGGCTACTCCGTTAAAACTGCAGCCGCCGGGCAGAGAGGCATCATTGACAACGGAGCAGCCCATCGGACAACAGCTGCAGCAGCAGCAGCCTCAAGCATAGCCATGACTCGACAACGGGTGTGTATCGTCAGGGAGACCAATGGAACGGGTGCTTGTAGACAGGCTCGCCACGCACCGCAGCTGGGCTGGGTGGCCCGGCTCGGGTGGGCCAAGCACAGGCACTAGCGCACTCAGAAAAGTGCTTTCCTATTTCAAGCACACAAATCGATATTTCTTCTTTGACTCGAGCTCTGCGCTTGGTTTAAATGTGCTTGAAACAATAAAGCATTTTCCGGGATTCGGAGATAAATATGCCGCGAAATATGCCGCACCAATCGAAACAAGAACGGAGTGTCGCACTTATGTCAGCACATGCATAAGAAACGTGAGTCAGGGATGCTAGGGAAATTTTAACTGCAGTTTTTAGTGTAATGCCTTTGTAAATGCACAAAGCGCTTTATCACATTGTAGAGGTGCGACTCGTCACCTTTGTGTCGGTAGGCAAGCCTGTCACACTCAGCTGTTGTGCTTGATGCCTATCCGCAGCCCGCAGGCGCTTGAGCCTCTCTCCCAGAGAAGTGCAAACTGCTTGACACTGGTCTCGTTCTCTTCGCTGCAGGTGCTAATGACCGCCATCCTGGCCGCGATCGTCGTCGCGACGGCCGCGAGGCAGGCGCTGTCCGAGAGCGGACAGCAGGCCGCCGAACTCACCGAAGGGCTGGAGAGGTACCACCACGACGAGGACCACCACCACGTGAGTACACCTCCGGCGCCGTTCCCCGCCTTGATTACTTCTTTTATGCACGGCTCAATTACCCGGAAAGCTGTGGTTTGTTTTCTAAAGTGACGATGGTAGTAAATTGTGTTATGACATCAACTTCTGTCAGCACTGCCCGTGGAAAATGTCGTCAGTTTATGAAATAAAAATTCCGAGAGACTTGTCAGTCGTGTTTCTACGGTAGCTTATTGTGTTTGTCATTGTCCAACACTGAAATATCGTAATTGGACTGGTAAGTGCAAAAATGTCATAAAATTCTGTACCTTAAAGGGTGACAATTGCCATAATTGTACAGTAGTAGTTGAAACTTTCTGGGAGGGGGGGTCATAAATTTGCAGAACAGTATGTACCGGGCTAGAAATTTTACGTATATTTCAGGTAGTTGTGTTTGTTTCCTTACTTCTCCTGACCAAATAATTTGACTTTGTAAATGTGTGTGTTTTAGACAAAACCCAAATATGCCTACCAGTACAGCGTGCACGACAAGCACACCGGGGATGTAAAGGACGTCTGGGAGCACCGAGATGGCGATGTCACCAAAGGGGGCTATACACTTCTGGAGCCCGACGGCCACACCCGGGTCGTGGAGTACATCGTAACCAAGAAGGGTGGATTCCAAGCCACTGTCAAGCGTCTCCCACCCCATCACCACCACTAAAATGCCCCTCTGTCTCTAGCAATAAATGAATTTTAATTAAGTCGCTATCGTTCGCAGACCTTAATCATGTCATTCCTTCTACGGTTCAAATTTAAACATGAGTTACAGCACTCTAGCAATGTACATGTACACATGGGGGATTTGCAAGCGCACACACATACGTGTAAGTGTGCACTTACAACAGTAGACACCTCTTTTGTCTACAAATCACATTCACAGTGGATGAAACAGTAAATGAACCAATTTTCGAGTATATTTTTTTTAGCTCTGCCATAGTGGAAAAAATGAAATTTCCATAGGGATCACTGCAACGTAAATAAGTCGTCTTTGGAATGACCTTCTTCTTGCCACTGTAAAAAATAGAAGGAAGGTTTGCAGGAAAATTTTCCTTAGCGCAAGCTGTAAAATTACAATTTGAAATCGTAAAAATACATGCAGTACGTATCGACTTAAAATACATCGGGGAGTAAAAAATATAAGCTCTCGTAAATTTACGACTTAAATTTCAATCCGAGTTTACAAAATGTCGTAAATTTACGACGATATTTTCCACAGTGGCAGAACGTGTTGTAAAATATAACAACAGAAGACGTAAAGTAGGTTTAAGGAGTAGGGATGGAAACTGAGGGGTCGGGGTCGGCCCGCGCACCTGCTGGAAGTAAGGGGAGCGAAGAGAGTAGGCGGGTCTGGGCGGCACGGCACATGGACTTGCTGCTGCATTACGTGAAGTAAGAATAAACAACACGGAAGCGCTCCTCTAGACATTCTGCCCATTGGGGAGGGGAATGCATGGTACATACGAAGGATTTGCTACCTGTGAAGCTTCCAAATCCTTCGTACCTACGAAAGATTTGTCATTTTTCTTCGTAATGTTTTAACAGTCCGGTGGGGACTCTGGACTCTTCCTCGCAATACACACAGTACCATTTCCAATCATTGGGTATTTGTCACACCGTTGCTTTGTAACAGACATCCAGAAAAGCCGTGGTGAAACATTCTGTCTGTGAGCGCTAGTGCCCTAAGACTGGTAGTTTTCTGGTCGGGATTTCAGAATTCAATTACTACAAAGAAAGGGTGTTTCGGGGCTGCAGCTAGACGCGGTTGAGAGCGCAAGACCCATAACTCTGACTGTGTGAGTGGCAGCGCTCTGGCAGTGAAATATTGAAAACGTTGGCGCCCTAGATGTGGTTTAATGAGTAGGTAGTCTTTGTTAGTGCTAATGTGTTATAATGGCACTCAAAACACCTCAAAACATGATATGGGAGATGGCTCGGAGATGGTCAAGTACGAAGACAGAGAAAGTAACAAACTCAGCTGTATAGAATTCAAAAGAAGAAATGTTACAAGAAGTCGTAAGAGTGGAGATGCCAAGGCAGGTGAAAATATGACGAAGAGGCAGGGGGAACAGGAGGGAGGGGTGGGGGGACAGACCAGCAACCGTCCACCGCCTGTCCAGGTCGACAGCCTCGGGGTCGTAAAGGGGTGTATAAAAAGCGTGCTTTGGCTGACCGCCTGTCAGAACGCGACAGATCAGTCCTGCAGCATGGCGCGCTTCCACGTGAGTTTTGGTACCCTGTTTTGAAACTTCTATTCATGATTATATTTATTTCTGAAGAAAAACATTCTCTTCCATTAGCTAATCATCCTCGCTGTGACCGCGGCCGTTTGCGTGTCGGCCTCAAAACACGGCCACCATCACCACGACTACTATGTGAGTGCGAGAGTGCGTGAGTGAGTGAGTGAGTGAGTGAGTGAGTGAGTGAGTGAGTGAGTGAGTGAGTGAGTGAGTGAGTGAGTGAGTGAGTGAGTGAGTGAG